CACTGGGGGAAATGTGTATGCTCATAAGCCAATGATGTGTGTTTTATAAGCTTTTGCAGTGGGTTTTTTTTTTGTGTGTGTGTGAATCAGAGGTTTTGGTATTTATGCATCTTTAAATGACAGGAACCAAAACATCAAACGTGCGAAACTTAGGCCTAATAGCCGGACTGGCATCTACTGGGATCGTCATACTGCTCATTGTAGCAACATGACTCAGCTACAATAAATACCTAAAACGAAAGGGCACCAACCAAACGCAAGAGGCTCCCCTCCACCTCCATGGAGAAATGGACGATGAGTTCGAGATGGGGGCCGGGCCTCGGAGATTCACCTACAACCAGCTGTCACAGGCGACGCGAGGTTTCTCCGACGAGGAGAAGCTCGGCGAGGGCGGCTTCGGATCAGTCTACCGCGGGTACCTGCAGGATCAAGGTTTCCATGCGGCCATCAAGAAGGTCTCCAAGACGTCGAGGCAGGGGAGGAGGGAGTACGTCTCCAAGGTCACGATCATAAGCCGTCTCAGGCACCGCAACCTTGTGCAGCTCGTCGGGTGGTGCCATGACACCGACGAGCTCCTGCTCGTCTACGAGCTCATGAGCAACGGCAGCCTTGACAAGCATCTCTATAGCACAGATAACATTCTAACATGGCCAGTCAGGTAAGAACTTAATCAGTCAATCGAGCTGGTTGTTTCTGTTTAACTACGAGTTCATGCTGTTGCCAGATATTACAAGTTCTTTTTTTCTTTCTTTTTGGGCGTCGATCAGGTACAACATCATCCTTGGCATGGGCTCTGCTCTCCTGTACCTTCACCAAGAATGGGAGCAATGCGTGGTGCACAGGGACATCAAGCCGAGCAACGTGATGCTGGACTCGTCGTTCAACGCCAAGTTAGGCGACTTCGGCCTCGCGCGCCTAGTCAACCACAGCCGCGCCGCGCACACCACGATGCTCGCCGGCACGATGGGGTACATGGACCCAGAGTGCGCGGTGACCAGCCGCGCCAGCGTCCAGTCCGACGTCTACAGCTTCGGCGTCGTCCTCCTCGAGGTCGCCTGCAGCAGGAAGGCCGTCGTCCTGGAGGAGGACGAGAGCAGAGTGCTGCTCGTGCAGTGGGTCTGGGATCTGTACGGGAGGGGCGAGCTCCTCGACGCGGCGGACCCCCGGCTGAACGACGGCTATGTGGAAATGACGTTGAAACACCTGTGCACTTATGCAAAAATTGTCCATATACCAAGGAAGTGTGGGAGATCCTAAAACAATGGTTGCAGTTAACAGCGATACAGTCGATAAATTCCTCAGGCTCCTTATGTAGACGCAGATTCGAGAAGAATGAGAGGAGAAAAGTGGATGGGATCTTCATCTATTTTTGGTGGAATATTTGGAAGGAGAGAGATATGAGACAATTTCAGCATAATGCTCTTAACCCAGTTCAAGTGGCCATGTTATGCAAGGACGATATTACGCAGTACAGGATAGCCATGGCACCAAGGGTAGTTGCAGACGATGTTTAGGATCTTCAGAGTGCCTGCATGTTTTCATGCGTTGGTTGTTTTTCGTTTCTTCAGTAGTCTTTTCTTGTGTTTTAGTAGTCGCGTGCAAAGGAAAGGTAGCTCTATAGTGTTTGTTGCTGTTTTTTAAATACATGTAAATTGCTTTTTTTCTCTTTTCTATCGTCTAATAAAATCTGCGGCAAAGGTTTTGCTGTCCTTTCTAAAAAAAAATTGATAGGACCAATTGAGGGTAGTACTTTTACCGATGGCCTTTAAAGTGTACGTGGAGACTTGTCCTAAATAAACCCTATCAGTTTCGGTCGCTAAATAGGCCAATTTGGATTGGCTACCTGATGCGTAGCTCGTCTATCTGTCGAAAAAGCCGAACCACATTCTATATTGAGGTTGGCTAGCAAGTAGCAACCGGGATCGACTGCTAACAGGTGCATCTTGAGGGAAAACAAAAAAAATCATATTTCTTTTCCTCCCTTTATCAAAACCAACCATAAATTTACTAATTTTTTTTGCACTTTAATTCTAACCAATCTAGCATGTTCATTAAGCATCGCAACGCATCATCATGCATCATACTAGACCTAGGGGGGTTTGATAAGTTCTTACCTCAAATGCACATGTGACATGAAGAGGATCGAAAACGATATCTTGGATTTTCTTGATTGCTCCCCACCGATCCACCTCGAAGCATGCTAGGGCATACTCTAGATCCGCAGTAGCTCAGGCCTTCATCCTCTCTTCTGGCAGGTTGCGAATCTCCTCAAGAAGTTGATCGGCTGAAGTTTTGATAATGTTTTTGGGATTGCTCGGATCAGTCTTGTCTTGAAATCTTTTGTAGTAGATTGATTTGCTTTCGTCCCCAGCGGAGTCGCTAAAATGCGTTGGCACTAGATCTGACCAACACACCAGTAAGGACTAGAACGTCTTAGGCCGCACATGGCCTACATACACAACAAAGGTAGATCCAAATGGCGAGACCGACCAACAGGTCGACAAGGCCAATTCGATGTTTTTTCTTTGGACAAAAAACCCACGAACGTCTCCTAGAAAGACCAGTTGGGGAGGAATACAACCAAAGTGCCATAGAATTGGCAAGGCTACCTAGAAAGACAATAATGGGGTGGAAAAGCTAGGGCTTGGAGATTAAAAAGTAATGTGGATATGTGTTTTTTGAGAATTGATAGATGGATCTCTCCATCGACCATGATCCTAATAGGAAACTTATTCCACACATAATTTATAAGTTTCCTATAAGTTTAGATGAGTTTTCAAAAGAAAAATACAATTTGGGGCTCAGACGGCCAAAACCGGCTCAAGCCGGTTTCCAAAACCAGCATGGCATGCTATATGATTGCACTAAAAACCCTCGAATACAAAAAGTTGGTCAGTGTTAAAAATGCTAAACCCAAGTATCATTGCCTTGAAGCATGATATATGAATATGATTGAACTTACCTACTACACCAAGATTGAGCCTGCAACGAATCCTTCAACCACATTTGCACAAACATGTCTACAACCTTGTACCTTTTCCTCAATTAGAAATGCATTCAACCAAAAGCAATTGCTTGAACAAGTTCTTTTTTTTTGCGTAAAAGTATAATGATGGTTTACCGTTTCTATTTCCATAATGTGTTCCTAAGCCAAAATTAAATTTATTTCAACAAGTAGATGCCATCGACTTTATTACCAAAGTAACAGAGCTCATACCCTGTCCAATAGACCAATACTATAAGAGAACAATCCCATTTACTTTCTTTTGGATTACATCGTAATCACACATCCAACACTTCTTTAACAGGCTATTCATCAGGCTTCAACCTCATACAGAATGCATGTGTCGCTACAAAAGATCAGGTAAATCCATTACATCAATCAACACACATTACACTCCCTTTTATTCCATTCACATATACCTAGAATTATACAAATTGAACAGATTTATCCAGTAATGAAAAGTTTCAGTTTCTTCGGTAGTGGCCATTCTGATCGTGAGCCCAAACACTAAGAAAGAAGCAACTTCATCACATTAGAACACACAACTTTATACTTCGCATGTACGATTAGCCCTATCAATGCTATCTTCGTGAGTCTACCTTTGTATAATACGTATAGTAATTCAGATGTTCTATCATCGAAAGGTACCTCTAGCGAAGTCAACTTCCAACATGTTTATTTTTGTACATTCCGTCGTCAAAGACAAAGTAGACAGTGGCACCCTTTTTATGAAACAACTTTATTCATTTATAATCAAATGATTTTAGGAAAGACACTCATGTATGTGTTTTTATCTCTCACAATATTGTATACAAAAATGAGCTTCAGCCGGCATGTTCGTTTGAACTTATCAGCAGACTTATCAGCTAGAATCTACAGTATTTTTCTCTCACAATAAAACAGTTTCAGCAGGCTTATCAGCCGAACAAGCCCTACTATTGCGCGTGTCAGTCGCTGGTAAAGGTACAAATGGTACTTATATTTTTTGACTGACCGATCAAAGGCTTTAAAGCATACCGTATTTTGAATATAAAGATTTAGTATTCGTACCCTATTGTATTTAGATACTCAAATTTTATATATACATATATGATATCGATGTCAATTCATATCTTAAGTTCTTGAGTGAAGTCCTCGTGAGCTATTATAAAAAATTGCAATTCCTTGTGATCCACCGAAAAAGTTCGGCAGACTTTAGTGTTACTGCTCTAATTTTTTTTTTGCCCTCCATACCATTGCTCTCAGATTGGGCTCTAACGGTATCAAACTGTATGTGTGAAAAGTCAAAAATACTCTTAGGTCTAAATATGTCATTAATTTTTTTTAGCATCTTAACGACTTCAAATGAAAAAACTCAAAACTAGAAAGTTATAGATCTCGTCGAGATCTATAATTTTCATATAAATATTATCTTCATTTAATTCTGCAAAAAAAGATATGATTTGATATGATTAATATATCTTAAAAAAATCATATCTTTTTTGCGGTATTAAATAAAAATAATTTTTATATGAAAATTATAAACCTTGACGAGATTTATAAATTTCTAGTTTTGAGTTTTTCCATTTGAAGTGGTTAAGATACTAAAAAAATTAATGGCATATTTAGACCTAAGGGTATTTTTGACTTTTCACACCTACAGTTTAACACCGTTAAAGCCAAATCTAACGGCAGTGACATGGAAGGCAAAAAAAAAAGTTAGAGTAGTGGCACTAAAGTCCGCCGAACTTTTTCAATGGCTCTCAGGAAATTACAATCTTTTTTAATAGCTCACATGAAATTTCCTCTTAGTTCTTAACCAAATATGATAATGCTTTCGTTTAAAAAAATATGATAAATACTTCAGCTATCCACAGCCGTTATTCCATCCATCTGTTTACGCCCCTTGTCACTAGTCTGACTGGATTCTGGAAATGAACGCCCAAGCAAATGCCCGCCGTTTCTCATTTGCGTCGACACGAGCAAAAACATAGGCAGATTGTAGCGAAGTAAAAAAATGCTTGCTCTTATTCCTCCCGTCTCCTCCATCGGTGCCCTCGCCTTCCACCGCAGCCTCCCACTGCCGCTCCTACTGCGGGATCCCCTACTGCGGCGGGCGCCTCCCCTCGCGCGCTCCCTCATGGCCTTCTCCACCGATCCGGCAGCGGTCGAAGAGAAGGTGGAAGCGGAGGACGAAGCCCTCCCCACGGCCGTCGCCGCTGCCGGCGCCGGAGATTGGGGTGATGTGAGGCACGAGGAGTGGCGGCGCTGGGGCACCTCCTCGCCGCTCCCGGCCGCGGTGGCCAGTGTAATCCACGAGCTGCTCGAGATGGAGGCCGCCGCCGGCGAGAAGATGCGCTTCGGCGGCGTCGGCTCGAAGCTAAAGGTGACGTCATCTCCCTCCCTCCTTATTGTTTTATTACCATTTATTACCAACCCCATAGACTTTGGAGGTTGGCTTCTGTGCGCGCACAGCAGGAGTCGAGCTGACGCATCTTGGTTTGATTTTTCTGGATTTTGCAGGGCAATTTCAAGGACGTGGAGGACAAGAAGCACAGGGCTGTCTACGAGAGGCTCGCCGACTCTGACCAGAAGCTGCAGTACTTCTCCGCGCGGCAGATTGGCTGCCGTTTGCTAGGGTGCAGAGGGTATCTGTGCCAGAAGGTACTGTGGTGTCCAAGTTCAACCTCAACAATGCAAGCGCTTGAGCAGTGCTGCGCACAACTTTCTTGATTCCTCTCCTTCCAATTGTGTGGTTAAGTGATCCGTCTGTCTCTGAAATTGCAGTGCTGGCTACCAACTGAAGACTGTATGTGCACAAATATTGTTCCTTGCAATCTTTGGAAGGGGATGAAATTCTGGCTATATATGCACCCAAAGGTCTGTCCTGTCCATAGAGGGTTGTGCAGTACTCTCTTATTATTTCCTCCTATTATGTGTAACCATATTTCTTTCTGCAGGATTTTTTGCGCCAGAATAACACAGGAAAGTTACTCTGGCAAGTATTTGCCTATTTGGCATCCAAGCTGCACAGTTATGCCTCTTTGGTATCCAAGAGCATGAGGATATCATGTGGGATGCATTTCAGAGTTCAGGTGATCTTGGAACCATCCTTGATTTCTCAAACATATAAATTGTTGAATGATATTGTTTTAAGAGCTTGCTAGATCTTGATTTATTCATTTTCTGTGTGGTAGTTTAGATTTTTCAGGTGCACTTGCTGATTTATAACATGATATATCATAATGTATGGACTAATTTGGAATATTCAACATATTTTAAATGAATGTGTCCCTTGTGTTACCTCTTTCACTGTGGGTTGTCATGTTTATAAGAAATGGAGATTGGGGCCTGTAACTGTCCATATTTACTGACATTCAGGATTCTATGGTTCTGTTAACGTAGTTTTCACATTGAAATTTTGTGCATTGTTTGTTTTTCTTTTTCTCTTTGCACGTATTTTGATCACTGTGAACTGTTCTACTGATGCATTGTGTGCTTGACCTGGTCCTAACAGCATGAAATTGCATCCTTTGATGCATTATTGTCTATGGTACAAATTGATATTTCGTGTAAATGAATGCAGAATGCATTTACTTTTGTGTGATCTGCAGAAGATTTCTGCACGAATCTATCATTTAGCATAAGTCATATTTCTATCTTCAGCTAGGACATGTGTTTTCCCCCTTCTCTTCATAAATGTCTCACTTCTATTCTGATGTGGTGTTCGTTCAGGAAAGGGGAAGATCTCAGTTCTATATCCAAACAAGAGTACCACCCCCAAGACAGTTAAAGACCTTGAATTTGATGGTTTGTCCTTGACAGCTGACCTTCATGAGGTAGTGTTTGTTTTTCGATGGCATTCCATGATTTCCACTGCAGCAAAGTAGTAGTGCTCCCTTCTTTTATACTCCTACATATATTCCGTGTGGATTTTTTTTCATGAAGTGCTCCCTTCTTTTATACATATATATTCCATGTGGATTTTTTTTTTCATGAGCACCTTTCATCCATCATATCTAGTATCCATAATGATTCAATTCGTTGAGTATGTAGTGGTTTTTGGAACTAATTCCTCTATCAACTTTCAACATTTGGGCAAATGGTAATGATTTAACTTCTGCAATGCTGAGTTTGCAGGATGAACCTTTCAATTTTGTTTTGCTTGATGGTACCTGGAGTAATTCTGCTGCGCTGTACAGAAGGCTGAAGGTACAGTTCAATGCATTTCTCATTTGGCCCAAGCATTCCTTTATTAGGCTGTCTAGACTACCAGTAAACACAGAATTGCAAATATTTCTTCTGCTGGCTGCTGGGTCTGGCATGTTGATTACATTTACACAGACATGTTTGTCCCACTTGTTGAATTCATTCACATTCAACTAAATCGATGGATGTGTACATTATTATTAAATATTTGGCCAAGACTCCAAAGTTTGGTACATACTCCCTCCGTCCCAAAATAGATGACCCTTTAGCAACGAATCTGGAGTATAGAATGAACTTCAAAGGTTTAGTTCTTGACTATTATGTCAAATACTTTTATTTTATGAATTTGGCTCAATTTAAGTAGAGGTTTAATGATAAATGATATCTGATGGAACTAGACATACAATAGTGTGGTATTTCTCATACCTGCAGGGCTGCATGGTAATCTTGTAGGTTTCACATCAAAAGTTTTACCTTTAGCCTTTAGATTGTATAATTTCGTAGATGATTCTTGATTAGTTCCTACAAATCTGTACTTGCAAATTCTTGACCAAAAACCATTCAGAACAATCCAAAAGCAGACTACATTTGGATTGATGTAGAATAGGGTTGGGTTGCATGGCACTTGCCACTATCCAATCAGGAGTTTTAAGATTTGGACTCCAATTACCAAGTAGGTATCTTCACATGTGAGATACAAGTAGCTAAATATGACCTAATATCTTTTATCTTGTACAGGAGAGATGGACTGCAATATGGGGAGATGAAGATATACCTTGTATCGCACTATCTACACTTAGTGCCTCAGTGATGCATAAACTACGGTGAGCTAAAAGCTTTATTTGTTCTTATCGTCTCTTTCATTTGTCGTTACCTTTGCCCCCTTTTCAAATGCTTATTTGTGCATACTATGTTCCTTTATAAACCTGAACAGGCCACAGCCTGCGTGGGATCGTACCTGCACTGCGGCAGCTGCAGCTGGCCTCCTCTGGGAGTTGAACTTGCGGCCTGAGCTCAGCGCATTTGAGTTGGAAAAGCAAGCTGAGGCAGTGGAGTGCTCGTTAGATATCTTGCTGGATGCTCTCACTGTCAGGCGGGTTCGTCTAGGCCGATCAATAACTCGAAAACAGAGACACAATAGAAACTGCATATAGGGAAAGGAACTCAATAGCAGAGGAGCATGGTATGCCCTTCAAGTGGAAGGCTGTTTTCATTCTTCTTGTAGAATTTAGGAGCTGATCAGCTTGTCAATGAGTTTTTCCTTTCTTTATAGGTCACTAAATCTTCAGTTCAGTGCTGTAGATTTTTTTTTTCAATTGTCACTGATGTGAGCTGTTACTGCTAATGCCGAAGAAAATTTTTGGATTCTCACAAACGTGGTTCAATTACCCTTCTGATTTAGCTCTCGGTTTTGACAATTTTTGGCCCAAAACTGTCTGTGTCATATGAAGGTGAGCCCAAGCAAGCGAGCGAACGATAAGAGTATTCACAACTACAACGATAAAGATGTTGAGTTATAAACTCTGAAATGTATATCAAATACAAGAGGACGATTATTCTACCAGTATCAGTGCACTGAAACTTCGGTTATCGTAGGAGTGCGCAGAATTCAAATAAACCGTCAGAGGGGAACAAGGCAACCGCCTCCCTGCCTAATAACTGATCCAAAAAGGAGCATCATCCATGCAAAATTGCAAATCAAGTTTGTAAGCAGCCACTTTTCAAAAAAAAAAAGGAAGTTTGTAAGCAGCCCTTGCAGGTTGGATTTTGACATTTTGTGATGGAATCAAGGTGTTTCTCAGGCTTGCTGCCGCAGCAGCCACAGCGCTGCGCTGCTGCAGCAAGCAGTACCGATCAGGCCAATACGTCACAGCTACTCCCCAAACAATCCCTCGCATCCTCTGTTTCTAGTCGTACCCAAAATGCTCCGCCTCGCGCGCGTGCGGCGTCCAGCCGCCGGCGCCGCCGTCTCGTCCATCCGCCCAATCCGGCCGCCTCCCGCGCCCTTCACAACCACCACTTCCACCACCGATACATCTTCGTCCACGGCCCCCGACCCGGACGGCGTGGCTGCGGACGTGGCCACCCTCCTTTCCCGCTGCTCCGGCGACTGGAAGCTCGCCATCGCCGCCTCTGACATCCCCTCCCGCCTCTCTCCCGCTGCCTTATCCTCCCTTCTCCGCCGCCGCACCTCCTCCCCTCGCCTCCACCCCAAGCTCCTGCTGGATTTCTTCTACTGGTCCCGCACCCGCCTCGCGCCGTCGGCACCGGCCCCCGACGCCTTCGCCCACCTCGCCGTCTCCCTCTGCGCCGCCGGCCTCTACCCTCAGGCCAGCGGGCTCCTCGACCAGATGATCTGCGCCTACCCCACCCCTCCCCTCGTCCTCAGCTCCGTCCACCGCGCGCTCTCTGGTTCCGACCAGGAACGCCGGCCTGTCGTCCTCGACGTGCTCGTCGACACCTACAAGAAGACCGGGAGGGTCCGGGAAAGCGCCGAGGTTGTCCTGCTGATGAAAGATCTCAGCTTGGCGCCCAGCCTTCGCTGCTGCAACGGGCTGCTCAAGGACCTGCTGCGCGCTGACGCCCTGGATCTGCTCTGGAAGGTGCGCGGTTTCATGGACGGCGCCGGGATTTCGCCCGATGTCTACACGTACTCGACGCTGATCGAGGCGTACTGCAAGGTCCGGGACTTGGAGTCTGCCAAGGAGGTGGTTGAGGAAATGCGTGAGACGGGATGTAGCCTGAATGTAGTGACCTACAATACATTGATTGGTGGTCTGTGCAGAACTGGAGCCGTTGAAGAGGCGTTTGGATACAAGAAGGAGATGGAGGATTATGGGCTGGTTCCAGATGGGTTCACTTATGGCGCAATCATTAACGGTCTGTGCAAGCGTGGCAGTCCGGATCAGGCAAAGTGCTTGCTGGACGAGATGTCTTGTGCTGGGTTGATGCCTAACGTGGTTGTTTATTCAACTCTGATTGATGGGTTCATGAGGCAGGGCAATGCAGATGAAGCTTTTAAGATAGTCAAGGAGATGTCTGCTGCTGGGGTGCAGCCGAACAAGATCACCTATGACAATCTCATCCGGGGTCTCTGTAAACTGGGGCAGATGGGCAGGGCTTCCAGGATTCTGAAGCAAATGGCTAAGATTGGTTATATGGCTGACACTATGACTTATAATCTGATCATTGAAGGTCATCTCCGACAGCATAACAAAGAAGAAGCTTTTTCGCTGCTTAATGAAATGAGGAAGGGTGGTATTTCACCTAATGTATACACTTACAGCATAATCATCAACGGGCTATGCCAAATTGGTGAATCAGAAAGAGCAAGTGGTCTCCTTGAGCAAATGATTGCAGATGGTTTAAAGCCCAATGCGTTTGTTTATGCACCTCTTATCTCAGGCTATTGCAGGGAAGGTAGTTTCTCATTGGCTTGTGAAACTCTCAAAAAGATGACCAGGGCAAACTTAACCCCTGATTTGTACTGCTACAATTCTCTTATAATTGGACTGTCTAAGGTGGGAAAGATGGATGAAGCCATAGAGTACTACGACCAGATGCTGGAGAAAGGGTTTCAGCCTAATGAATTCACATATGATGGTCTGATTCATGGCTATAGTATGACTGGGGATCTAGAAAAGGCTGAACAGTTACTCCATCAGATGCGAAACAGTGGACTAAACCCCAAGGATTTTATCTATGCCCACATCCTAGAAGCTTACTTCAAATCAGACAATCTTGAAAAGGTTTCCTCTACTCTTGAATCCATGTTAGAAAAGGGGTTAATGCCAGACAACCGTTTATATGGAATCGTGATTCACAATCTGTCCAGCTCTGGACATATGCAAGCTGCTGTTAGTGTTCTCTCAGTGATTGAGAAGAATGGATTAATTCCTGATTCGCTTATATACGGTTCCTTGATATCTGGTTTTTGCAAGGCAGCTGACATGGAGAAAGCTGTTGGTCTTCTTGATGAGATGGCTAAAAAAGGTATAGAGCCTGGTATTTCATGCTATAATGCCCTGATCGATGGGTTTTGTAAGTCTGATGATATTTCTCATGCCCGTAATATCTTCAATAGCATATCACGTCAGGGATTACTCCCAAATTGTGTGACATATACAACTTTGATGGATGGATACTGCAAAGCTGGTGATATCCGTGATGCTATTGATCTGTATAATGAAATGCTTACAGATGGGGTAACTCCAGATGCTTTTGTCTATAGTGTGCTTGCTGCTGGCTGCTCAAACTCCGGAGACCTTCAACAAGCTCTGTTTATAACTGAGGAAATGATTTTTCGGGGATATGCAAGTATTTCTTCTTTCAACACCTTGGTCCATGGCTTCTGTAAACGTGGAAAATTACAGGAAACTGTGAAGTTTCTCCATGTGATGATGGACAAAGACATAGTACCTAGCCTGCTGACTGTTGAAAATATTGTGAGTGGACTCGGTGAGGCTGGGAAACTCAGTGAAGCGCACACAATTTTTGTTGAGCTGCAACAGAAGAATGCTTCACATCGTGATACAGATCATTTGTCCTCATTGTTTACAGACATGATAAATCAAGGACTAGTTCCTCTAGATGTGATACATAACATGATCCAGTCTCATTGCAAACAAGGCTATTTGGATAAGGCTTTGATGCTACATGATGCTCTTGTTGCAAAAGGTGCTATTGTGGGCTGCACATCTTATCTTGCTTTATTAGATGGCCTTTGCAGGAAGAGCAAACTGATTGAAGCTTTAAATTTGCTAAAAGAAATGAAAGAGATGGGTATTTGTCCTTCTGAGGATCAGTGCATGACACTCTTAAATAGTCTTCACTCATCAGGATTCATCCAAGAATACAATAAAGTGTTTGATACTATGCTGTCTTACCAGTGGTTACAAAAGGAAAGCAAATTCTGTAATTCGGTTTGTAATAGTCAGGAAGCTGTGAATGCAGAATAACTAAAGACTGCAAATTTATGAACCCCTTTTTGATAGATAATAGTTTGAACGGATTAGTTCACTCCATAGAATCCGTCTGCTTTCTTCTTGTTGCAAATCAGAAACTATATGCCTGTGCAGGTTTAGGTTAATCTGTTTAGTGGTCCTGCACTTCTGGTTCAGGTATTACTGGTGGATGGTGAGAGGAGGCTGTGTCTGTGAGTAATGCAAAGAGTGCAACTGCATAACAATGATGCTAGAATTGATAATCAGAGAAGGGACATAACTGCAGATTAACAAATTTTCTTGCTTTGATTTACCCGTGTAATCAGTTTGGTTAACTGATTTCGTTTGTTGTCCAACTATAGGATTGCCTTGTATGGGATTCTTTCCCATTTTTCTCTCTTTAATACAAAGATACATAGCTCTACTGCGTGATCAAGAAAAAAAATAACTACTATTTCTCAGCTTCATTCTGATCAATTGATTTCCAGATGCATCAGTGCTAGTGACTACTGAGTTTGGTGATGCCTTTGATCAACCAGAAAACAAGCAGTTCTTCATGTTGTAGATGTAGGCCTGCCAATTTCTATTCATTTATTTATTTGCAAAACGCAGATGCTTAATGCGTGGACCCCCTCAGTAAATTGATCTCTCATCTTTGCTAATCTGGACAGGGCTTTGATGGGAAGATTTCGATGATTCTTAGATGATTTCGAAGTCAAGGAAATCCCCTTCCTGGGACGCAAATATACTTGGTCAAATGAAAGGTCTTCAACGGCCGTTAGGTTGGATCAAGCTTTCTGTTGCTCAGAATGGGAGGACATTTTCCCTGATGCTGTTCTGCAGAGCACCGCCTCAGTTGTTTCTGATCATTGCCCTCTTATTCTCGGTTTGAAGGTTAGCACAAATGGCAAGCGGTGTTTTCATTTCGGAAGTTTCTGGACAAAAATCCCTGGCTTTCTGGATGCTGTTCAGCAGAACTGGAATGCTCCCGTCGCCTCATCTCTTGCAGCAGCTTGCCATGCACCATGTCAGTCACCGGGTTTCTTTCTTTGTGGATGATGCTGTGATGTTTCTGAGACCATCCTGCACTGATCTTCAGACCATCAAACTCACCCTTGATTATTTTGGGCACGCCTCTGGTCTCCGAATAAATTGGGCAAAAAGTTCAGTTTCTCCTATTCATTGTTCTGAAACTGATTTGCTACTCACTTCAGAAATTCTGTCATGCCCGGTCAAGGATTTCCCATGCACTTATCTAGGCCTTCCTAGCCCAAGCAGTTTGGGCCGAGCAGATTATCTATCACTACTGCAGTACACCGGCAACCGAAGAAATCACGCTGGCTGCAGTTTGTATCTATTATTTCGGTTATATTCGAGAAACACGAATTTGCTTACTGTAATGGTTATAACGTCTGAGTAGCGCTGTTTCAACAAATCCTGTACTGAATCATTTTCATTTCAGCATGTCAAGTGTTATGCACCGTGCCCGCTTAGAATTATATGATACGTTTATGTGCTGAATGATGCACGCATGCCTGACTGAAGTCATCAGGCGCATTAGAGCGCCTTGGAGTAAACAGACATCAATAAACTAATAATAGTTATCAAAGAACTAGACCGAGCCCTAAATCAGCTGAAGAGAGGGAAGCAAAGAACGACGAACGCCTGAGGAGATCCTACATCTTGCTGGAACTCTATGCATCTTCCGTTGGCTTTGCTCCAAAAGCTTTGGTGCCTCCTTATCCTCGATCTTCTGAATCGTGTGAAGACGTTTGATCTTCTTGGCTTCTTCGTAACCCTCACGTAGCTTCCGTTTAGTATTCTCCATCTTCTCGCTTTGAGTGACGATCAGCTTCTTGGTCTCCATCTTCTCGCTTTGAGCAGCGACCGGCTTCTTAGCCTCGATCTTCTCGCTTTGAGTGACAATCAGCTTCTTGGCCTTCATCTTCTCGCTTTGAGCGTCGACCGGCTTCTTGACTGCTGTAGAGATGCCCTGGCGTGGGATCCGATCATCAGAGAGCTTGTCGAGCTCCTCCTCTGCTGTAGCTTTAGCGCCGTCAATGGCTGTGCTCCACCCGCGCACGACGTCGCCCGCGAGGGTGCGGATCCGGGCCGACCCGTGCTTCCCGAGGGCGCCGACGGCCCTTGCGAGGTCGGTGGACGCCAGCGCACCGTGCGGGACGGGCGCCACCCGCAGAGTCTGGAGCGCTTCCACCATGGCGTCGTCGAGCGCGGCGCAGAGCTGCTCGGCCACGCCGTCGTCCACGGCGCCCCGGAGCAGCTGGACGATCCGGACCCTCACCTCCCGGAACGCGGCGCGCGGGTGGTCGGCTGCCTCGATTGCTTCGTCGATGGCGCCGAAAGCGCTGTAGAACGGCCTCCAGCGTCGGAGCGGGCTCCCGCTCTCCTCGTTGGCCATGGCGGCGGCGGGATGCGGGCAAGCAGCGTAAGAGCGTAACCTTGCGAGATTCGAGTCGTGGATTGGAGTGAATATATGAGAAGGTGGGATCGAGTCCGACTGGGTGTGTGGACGCGTTTCGAAATCGAATCCGACTCTCTCTGCGCCAAAAAATACGCAAAAATGCTTATTTTTTCCTCAAAAAAAAGTCCAGTACATACACACCGCGCCATACTTGGTGAAGGCGGCAATGCACCGGGCCAGGATGGGGGCTGGGGGCGTTAGATCCATCGACCATTGCCCCATCAGCATCTCCGTCCTCCTCCAGCTGAGCCATGCCTCTAGCGCTCGCCATCGGGGATCCTCGCCACGGGACGGGTGCCCATCCAACCGGGATTGACGCGACACAGCCGCCGCCATCCTCCTCGCAGACGACAACTCGATGCTCATCCTCCCCGATGGTTCCCTACCCCAGTGCAAGCGGAGACGGAATCCCCCTCCCCGTCCCTGTGTTTGATGCCGTCGGCCTGAGGTGCCGCCAGATCCAGCGCCACCACCGGTGGCCGCACGCACCACGACGTGTGCCTCCGCACTTCCCCTCTGGTACTAATTCATGCGGAGTGTGATTCCCTTGTCTTGATGTGCTTGATTGCGGCCAAGCAAACCCAACTAGTTTCGTTCCATTCATTCCGATTTTGTTTTCTGCGGTTACTGTTTTGCAAGAAAATTGTGGCGGTTGTAGAGACATATCATCCATAGACCAGCCTAAGATTGTTGCCCAAACTGGTATGCTTCTGTGATTTGATTTTTCTCCTCTCAATAGTGCATATTGCATTAAGGTATATGGATCAACATTGTTCAGCTACTTGTGACTTGGAATTAGATAAATGAAATCTGTATATTTTGATATCTCTGATATCTATCCTACTAATGCACCATCTTTTCTTTCCTACGTTCATATAAGAAAACGACCCCCCGCTGAGATGTTTCCTCTAAGTCCACCCCAAAAAGTGTACCCAGGAAACAACACATTTCAAATGAACCGTTCAGATGCACTATAAGCCTTCTCTCTCCTTGCTCACTACACAATCGAGGGCCTGGATTGAGTGTATCAAATCTCCTCATTCTCCCCCACACCCACGTCATGCAGCCTCCACCGAGTATTACGAACGCCACGCCGCCAAAAATCATGGAACTTCCCGGACACGCACGGAGGCGGAGGAGGCGCTGCTACTCCTGCCGCGGTCGGCGGAGGAGGCGAGTAGGCGGTGATCGCGCGCGCGGCCACCGAGGTTGTCGCGAGCGAGGATCAGGGTGCACCGGCGCCATCGCATACGTCTCGCTCCTGCCGCGATTGTTGTCTCCCGCGGCCGCTACGATCGCGCGCGCGAGGAGGACGCGTGGTCGGCAAGGTGGTCGTGAGCGAGGAGATCAGGTACGCCTGTATACTTCGATCGTCAAACATGTTGCCGCCGAGATGGATCCATGCCGCCGTATATATGTTCCATGCCCAGCTCCTGTCTTTGTTCTGAGATCGCATCTGAACACATGCATACACCTAACTGCGTATATACGTATAGATGCGTATAGGGTACATGAATTTTTTATCTTTACTTTTGATCATAGTATATATGAAACTACAAAATGCAGATTTTTTTCCGAAGTACTATCGGTCACTTGCCGAGGCGGTTCATATGTTCAGAGATGTAGCAAGTACGGTAGGAAAAAAATTCATCTTCAAATTCAGATGTTCAGATTAGCATTTAGAGGTTCAGATTAGCATTTAGGCGGTTCAGATGTTAGTATTCAAATAACCACTGGCGGCAAGATATATCATGGTTCTAATGGACATGTCTATTATATTATTATTACTAGCCCTTGACGGCAAAATGGGGACGTCAGGAGAAGGCTGCACTGCGCTCAGCGATGTAACGAACATACCTACTCCAGGTATTTTCATACACTCATATTTTTTATATAAGCCATCATCTATAAAAGTATATAAATAAACAAGGCCATGTCAACAGCTTGCAGCGAAGAACAACGCAGGAGAGAGGAAAGGAATAGAAAACAACGTGAGTACCGCGCTAGGATTAGGGCTCAAGAAACAAGCGAGCAAAGGGAGGAGAGAAATAAGAGGCAACAGGAGTACCAACGGGACTACCGTGCTCGGCGAAATGCATAAACAACGGCACCTCCTAATGCACCAGATCAGCCAGGTGCTAAAGAATGCTCTTTGCAGGTCATCTGATTGCTATCTTTTTATTATTAATATTTCTTACTGACCTTGTCATATTACTTCAACAGCAGCGCAATATCCAACTTATGGGACAACGACATCAGCCGTTCTGCAACCAATTAATGAAGGATATTTTTCCGCCCCAAACATGAATTCTATTGACGTTAATATGACCCCATGTACGTCAATTCAAGGAGTGCAGGAATCACCATTTCAGACGGGGAATTCCGGAATTTTTACTGGCCCAACCTCGGTTCAGGACAAAGAAAATCAAACCCCATGCGATGCTTCAGAATGGTTGCGTCGAAATGATAACTACATCAGACCAAGGCAACAAGTATGTGGGGATATCGCAATGGAGCCGTCTGCTCAGATGGTTCAGGATCTAGGTGAAACAATAACTGGAATTTTATAGTACCTACTAATGATGTTTTTTTTTCTATTTTTATGATTTATTTATATCTCACCATATCAACCAAATGATTAAACAGAATCCAGTTCAAGTGCCAATCAATTGCGGAGAAATAGAGAAAGGTACAACAATCTTGAAGAATCGATAAAACAAGAATTATCTACCCTACTAATGCACCATCTTTTCTTTCCTACGTCCACACAAGAAAACGACCCCCCGCTGAGATGTCCCCTTTAAGTCCACCCCAAAAAGTGTACCTAGAAAAACAACATATTTCAAACGAACCGTCCAGATGCACTCTAAGCCTTTTCTCTCCTTACTCATTACACAATCGAGGGACTGGATTGAGTGTATCAAATCTCCTCATTCTCCCCCACACCCACGTCATGCAGCCCCCACCGAGTATTACGAACACCACGCCGCCAAAAATCATGGAACTTCCCGGACACGCACGGAGGCGGAGGAGGCGCTGCTACTCCTGCCGCGGTCGGCGGAGGAGGCGAGTAGGCGGTGATCGCGCGCGCGGCCGTCGAGGTTGTCGCGAGCGAGGATCAGGGTGCACCGGCGCCATCGCATACGCCTCGCTCCTACCGCGATTGTTGTCTCCCGCGGCCGCTACGATCGCGCGCGCGAGGAGGACGCGTGGTCGGCGAGGTGGTCGTGAGCGAGGAGATCAGGTACGCCTGTATACTTCGATCGTCAAACATGTTGCCGCCGAGATGGATCCATGCCGCCGTATATATGTTCCATGCCCAGCTCCTGTCTTTGTTCTGAGATCGCATCTGAACACATGCATACACCTAACTGCGTATATACGTATAGATGCGTATAGGGTACATGAATTTTTTATCTTTACTTTTGATCATAGTATATATGAAACTACAAAATGCAGATTTTTTTCCGAAGTACTATCGGTCACTTGCCGAGGCGGTTCATATGTTCAGAGATGTAGCAAGTACGGTAGGAAAAAAATTCATCTTCAAATTCAGATGTTCAGATTAGCATTTAGAGGTTCAGATTAGCATTTAGGCGGTTCAGATGTTAGTATTCAAATAACCACTGGCGGCAAGATATATCATGGTTCTAATGGACATGTCTATTATATTATTATTACTAGCCCTTGACGGCAAAATGGGGACGCCAGGAGAAGGCTGCACTGCGCTGAGCGATGTAACAAACATACCTACTCCAGATATTTTCATACACTCATATTTTTTATATAAGCCATCATCTATAAAAGTATATAAATAAACAAGGCCATGTCAATAGCTTGCAGCGAAGAACAACGCAGGAGAGAGGAAAGGAATAGAAAACAACGTGAGTACCGCGCTAGGATTAGGGCTCAAGAAACAAGCGAGCAAAGGGAGGAGAGAAATAAGAGGCAACCGGAGTACAAGCGGGACTACCGTGCTCAGCGAAATGCATAAACAACAGCACCTCCTAATGCAGCAGATCAGCCAGGTGCTAAAGAATGCTTTTTGCAGGTCATCTGATTGCTATCTTTTTATTATTAATATTACTTACTGACCTTGTCATATTACTTCAACAGCAGCGCAATATCCAACTTATGGGACAACGACATCAGCCGTTCTGCAACCAATTAATGAATGATATTTTTCCGCCCCAAACATGAATTCTATTGACGTTAATATGACCCCATGTACGTCAATTCAAGGAGTGCAGGAATCACCATTTCAGACGGGGAATTCCGGAATTTTTACTGGCCCAACCTCGGTTCAGGACAAAGAAAATCAAACCCCATGCGATGCTTCGGAATGGTTGCGTCGAAATGATAACCACATCAGACCAAGGCAACAAGTATGTGGGGATATCGCAATGGAGCCGTCTGCTCAGATGGTTCAGGATCCAGTTGAAACAATAACTGGAATTTTATAGTACCTACTAATGATGTTTTTTCCATTTTTACGATTTATTTATATCTCACTATATCAACCAAATGATTAAACAGAATCTAGTTCAAGTGCCAATCAATTGCAGAGAAATAGAGAAAGGTACAACAATCTTGAAGAATCGATAAAACAAGAATTATTGGATAAAATGCGAGGGTATACAAGGGACAAGAGAAATATTGCACATCAGTCCAGTCAACATACTCCAAGCAGCAATGCCCAGCCCACAGGTTGCTTGATTCATTTTTCTTCCAATCCCTAGTTTCATATATGTAAATTTCTGATGTTAATTATATAACTTTAACCTATAATAACTACTATACAGATGGGACACCAGCTCTTCGCACGTTACATGCAAACATCGATCGGGTAGATGAATATGACACTACCTTGTTCCAGCCGGCAAACAACGAGATACAAGAATCTGATGACGAAGGAGGTGGGTTGCTTTTTAATAACACAAACATGACTGCATAAGAGTTAATTTTTAACATACCACGCACTGCCCATGCAACAGATCCCCGGGAAGACATGGAACATCAGAGCGATGACGACGAAGCTAGGCAATTCCACAGGGAAGGTATCGCCTCACGTAGGTATTATATAGGGAGTTCCCAGAACACTACCGGTGGATCAGTGGTCGCAAGCTCGGGGACTACATCGGTACGATGCACCTGCCGGTGCAGCTCGTATCGCTTGTACGACGATTGGATTCTCAACTTAACTGGAAATTCTTTTTAGACCCTGGCACCACGTGCCTACATCAACTACTACCAGGCTCGGGGACTAAGTGG